TTAAGAAAACATAATGTATGAACAGGATAATTATAAAGTGCGTGTTATTTTGGGACGCGCATGGGCGTTATTACATTATTTTTAGAGGGAAATTGCACCCATGTCCGTTATTTCGAGAATTTACGATAATCCAATTCAATAAAGATTTTTCAATTTGAATTATATGGCCTTACAGCATTTAAATAAAGTCTTAATCGAGTTTGTCGGGTTGATTTTGAGCGAAGATATCTCGACAACCACTTAACCAAATTCGATGAAAATTTTTTATATATGAATTCTATAAATCAATATAAGGTTTAAACAAAAATTTTTCATGGTTGGCCAGGTGGTTGTCAAAGATATTTTTGCACAAAGTTTTAAAACTTTTATTTCGCCGAAATGTATCCAAAGTTGATTGGCTAGGTTTTTATGTTACAGAAACCGGGCACATTTATTTCGACGTTACACCAGATCTTGATCTCGTTTCTACCTTGACAAAGATAAATGAACAATTCTGTAATAAAAGTATGGTCCCAACATCGCCTGCAATCAGTGGACCCATCCCCTAAACCAATACCCACAGCATCATCAGTATCGAGTCCAAGCAAACCTGTAGACGCACAAAATATAGATACGCATGGAATTAAGGAAAAAAAGACTATGGCAAAAAATAATCAAAATAAAGAATTGAAAAATTCAAAAAGTAAAAAATATTGTTCAGTTGCAGAAAAGCTCACTTAAATCGATTTCTTAATAGTTTATTTAATTTAATTTTTTTATAGCCTCAAAAAATGAAACTTTACCTTCTGCACGATTATCTGATTTAGGAGGAATCGATGCTTGTATAGAAGAAGTTTTGGAATTAGTAGCAATGCCATTGGCCCATCCAGAAATATATTTACACACTGGCGTTCAACCACCAAGGTTAGTTATTGATATCCTTTTGTTATGTTGGTAAAATTTAACTTTATTTTTAAATTAGAGGAATTTTATTGCACGGACCTCCAGGATGTGGGAAAACATTACTTGCAAACGCCATTGCTGGGGTACGGACCTGTGATAAATCTAAATTCTTTCTAATAATGACTGAAGTATTTACATATAACAATGGTAGGAATTAGGGGTACAGTTTATTAGCATTTCTGCGCCATCTGTAGTATCTGGAATGTCTGGAGAGTCTGAAAAGAAAATTAGAGATGTTTTTAAAGAAGCCAAGGTGAGCCTAGAATGTAACGAAAATTTTGATGAATATAATCACTATTATTATTATTATTATTTTTTTTTGACAACTCTAATTATTCTTTAAGAAAAAAGCACCGTGTCTTATTTTTATTGATGAAATTGATGCTATCACTCCAAAAAGAGAAACAGCTCAACGGGAGATGGAAAGACGAATAGTCGCACAGCTGCTAACATGCATGGATGGTGTGTAGTATCCTATTAGATTTATTCGATCATGTTCTTATAAGTAGCGCATTTATTGAATATGAATATATGCAGATCTTTCGTGGGATAAAACAGACAACAAACCTATATTAATTATTGGTGCGACAAATAGACCAGATTCACTTGATCCGGCACTTCGTCGTGCCGGAAGATTTGATAGAGAAATTAGTATAGGAGTTCCAGACGAGCAATCACGAGAAAAGTACGTTTCTCTAGTACATTTAAGTGAAATTCATGAATAGCTATAAAAGTTTATTTTCAAACACAGGATTTTAAAAGTAATTGCATCAAAATTAAAACTCTCTGGGGACTTTGACTATAAAACACTTGCAAAATTAACACCTGGGTATGTAGGAGCTGATCTAAATGCATTGACGGCTGCAGCTGGTGTTATAGCTGTCAAGCGAATATTCACAAAATTAAGTGAAAATAACTGTGTCATGGATGAAGATTTGTCTGCAATGCACATAGATGGAAAGCAGCAAGATTCTATTGTATCGGATGGTTTAAGTACCCCATTCGAAGATCAATCTCCTTCAGATCAATTGCGTTCAATATCCATCTTTCTTAAAAATCATCCAGACCCACTTACGGAAGAGGAACTTGAACCTCTTAGTATCACTAATGATGACTTTTTTCAGGCACTTTCAAAAGTTCAACCTTCATCTAAGCGGGAGGGATTTGCTACAGTACCTGATGTTTCTTGGTCTGATATTGGTGCATTAAGATTTGTGAGAGATGAATTAAGAATGGCAATAGTTGAACCGATTAAACATCCAGAATTATTCAAAAGAGTTGGAATAACAGCACCTTCTGGAGTTTTGTTATGGGGACCACCTGGATGTGGAAAGACGCTCTTGGCCAAGGCAGTGGCCAACGAGAGTCATATAAACTTTATTTCAGTTAAGGGGCCAGAGTTGCTAAACAAGGTTTGCAGATATATTTCATATAGAGTGAAAAGTTTCGGTTCGGATTTTTAATCGAAGCAAGTATAATTTCTTATAATAGTATGTTGGTGAGAGCGAACGTGGCATCCGACAAGTTTTTAATCGCGCCAGGGCATCATCACCATGCGTCATATTTTTTGATGAACTTGACGCGCTTTGCGCACGACGTAACGATTCACAGGTTATACTCATCCACTAAATTCATAACCTTAAGAGATATCAACTTGTTTAATAATCATGGCATATTCTATAAATAATTAGTCTGAAACTTCGGCGCGTATCGTTAACACACTTTTGACTGAATTAGATGGGTTAGAAAATCGAAAACAAGTTTATATTATTGCAGCTACAAATAGGCCAGGTATATATCAGAGATTTACTGTTAATTTACTTTTTACATTATTCTTCATTAATAAATAAAAAATCCTTTCGTAAGATATTATTGACCCTGCAATGATGCGTCCTGGACGCCTGGACAAGCTTTTATATGTAGGGTTACCTACAGCATCTGAACGATATGAAATCTTAAAAACTTTAACAAAACAGACCCCCTTAGGCGATGACGTTTCATTAGAAAAAATTGCCGAAGATGAAAGATGCTCTAATTTCAGGTTTGCATTTGTGTAAACATTAAATTACCTAAATTAAATAAAAAAATTTTAATTTCTTTTTTTTTCTCTAAAGTGGCGCGGATTTGGCGTCCCTGATCCGTGAAGCTGCAGTTGCAGCATTACGAACTACTCTTTATTCACAAAATGAAATCTCGGTAGATGGTATAATAAAACCCGAGAGTGAACTTCACGTAACTTCAATACATTTTGAAATGTCATTTTCTAAAATATCACCAAGCGTGTCTAAGTTAGATAAACTAAGATATGATTCATTGAAAATAAAGTTTGGTTATTCATCTTGAGTAATGAAACAATGAAAATTACTATTAAATTTATATCAACATCTTCCAAGAAATATAAAAACTTCTACTAAAAACAAGTTATGAAATATCTACAATAGTTATTTCATCTCAACATTTAAAATCAACCAAATTTAGATTTATTCATTTTTATACCAAAATTTGGTAAAACCACTTTTTTAAAAATATGTATGTAAGATGTGATGATTTTAGTAGTTAAATTGTTGCATCTCAAATGATAGTTCTAAAGTTTTAATCTTATTAGAGATAGAATTTAAAATAGTTTATGTTTTACTGTGCAAAAGAATCAAAAAAAATCCTACTTCTAATTACAGTCATATCTCTTCTTAATCACACTTTTGGGCACTACAAAAATCATAATTATATAGAGGTGTGATTATAAATAAAAAATTCTAATATTTACTTGTTTGTATAAAGAAATTTGATTGGTTAATTTGGGTCATACGATTTATATATTAATTAATCTTTTTATAGATATCAAAAAAGTGAGCAGGCAAAACTTTTCTACTAAGTTGACCTTTTAAAATTAACCAGTAGAACCGAAGATATGGCCTTTTAAAGTTTAGATATTATCTAAAGATAATGCAAAAACATCGTCTAAACTTTGAAAGGCTATATCTCCAGTTCTACCAGGTGATTTTATCATTATTAAAACTGAAAAGATTAGGAAAATAACTTTAATTAGTATAAAAGAAAGGTCAACTTAGTAGAAAAGTTTGTTAGCTTATTTTTTCTTAAAATTTGCTATTATAAAGAGGTAAAATTATCATATACTGTAGTATGGTCTAAATGACTCTTTGATAATACTATCCACAATTTTCGGAGGTCTAGAATGTAAAGTACCCCAGGTACTAAGAACAGATTAAATGTACTTGAAACTGTAAAATATCTGGGTACTAAAGATGGATTAATTGCATTAAATATATAAAATATTACTGAAGTACTTATATAGTGCAACCCTACACTAACTATAGTATCTCTCCAACTATAATACCCATATATACAGCTTTAATTGTAAAATACTCTGGATATTTAAACTATGCTGTATGGTACTATATATTTAAGGTTTGGTTACAAAAAAATATGTAATAGTGATTATATGTATATTGTTATTATCATATAAAGAGGAATTTTATTATTTAAAAAGTTGGAGGCATAAATTCATGTAATTTTATAAAGGTTGTGATTATAAGGGTGATTAAAAAAGGTATAACTGTACTTGGAAGACAGAATATGCCAATGTCTATTGAACCATACAGTTAGCCGATTAAAAAAGGTAAAATATTTCAAGAATGTTAAAATAATTGTTTTAGTCATAAATATTATAATCAGATTTTGGATTAGAAATTTATTATGCTTAGAATTGGAATTTTAAAGATTTATAGTTTTGGCGATATGTATAATTATTCGACTGTTCTATTATTATTAAGATCTATTGTGAATATCTATTTGGTTTTTTTTTTAATCTAATAATAAAGTTATAGAAGTAGTTTTGATTTTATACTTTAGCCCTTAAACTCTTCCATTTTCGTGCAACGCAAGTCGGCATTAACATCTTTTTTATAGATTAAGTCTATTATAGGGAACACCTCCGATAAATTTTCCGCACTCATTGATCTGTGTCATGTGATCGGTCAAATCTCTTGATTTTGCTCTACCGCTCCGTTTCACTTTGCTCTGAACTTTGAACGAAGTTTTCTCAAAAGCCATTTTAATGATTTCGATAAAAATCTTTTTATCTAAAATCAAAATAAAAAGTTTTTATCAAATCGGCTGTGGTTATTGTGAAAACTTTGCTCAAGTTAGGGAAAATCTTCTGTCTACAAATAAGTTACGCTTAATTTTTAAAATTTTGAGCGAAGGTTTCTTGACAATCACCTAACATTTTCCATAAAAACTTTTTTATTTGAATTTTACACAATTGGAAAATTCAAATAAAAAAATTTCATGGAAGTTGGTTTGGTGATTATTAGAAAAACTTGGCTCGAAGTAAAAAAAAAAATTACCATCGGCCAATAGGATTGCATGTTACATTGGGGTGTACGAATCACAAATCACTAATCAAGATTTTTTAGTTAATTTAATAGTAAAAACATAGAAAGCTTAAGCTGCAATAACTCTTGAACCAGCAAACCCACGCAAATATAATTATATTGTCAGGTTCGTTATAAGTGACAACGCTCTTTTTTTTTTATTTTATTATCTGGAGCGTAGCGAGGAGAGTAAAATAATGCCAAAATTCTCGTTTTTGATGTATTATTCATAAAAATATCAAAAACGTAGCTTTGAATTTTTCTGTACTTATTGTGACAAATATGCAATAGCTACGTTTTTGGTATTTTTGTTAATAATAAATCAACAAGAATTTTGACATTATTTTATTCCTCCCAGACAATAAAAATAAAACAAAGAGCGTTGTCACGTTAAAGATCACATTATGAAACTGACAAATATAATTATATAATTATCTTTGCGTGGGTTTTCTGGTTCAAGAGTTATTGCAGCTTGAGCTTTCTACAGTGCGGGACACCTTAAACCAGCAAGTATGTATAAAAAATAGTGGCCAAATTTTATGGTTATGTATGTTGTGTAACTTTATACAAAAATAAAGAGATATGATTGGTTAATACAGTATAGGTTTATTATTAAAAAATTTTGTTTATAATGCTGGTCAGAGTTATAATAAGCTTGACCAGAATGATAATATTTTACCAGAATTATGGTGGCCAAATTTTTAGTTTTAATAATAAAAATGGTTTTCAAAATTTTTTAAAAATATTAAAATTTAATAAATTAAAAAATAAAATTCTGTATCTTTATTTTTCTGGTCTTTCTACAAAAAAAAATTTGTTCTAGCTATTCTAGTTATTTTTTTGATACAATTTAAAACTCGACAATTTTCACTTGCTGGTTTAAAGTGTCCCGCACTGTATGTTTTTACTACAGCAGAGACAGTTAATGTTACACATATATTAAAACTGGTGAGGGATTATATTCATCACAATTGAATCCAACATAAATAATTTAATTTGTGATTGATCACAGGCGAGAGGGATTCACTTTGGATCGGGCACTGTCTCTGCTGTAATTATTTTCTGTAAAAAAAACTTGTCGGCAAAATGATTGTCGGTGTAATGGTATGTCTGTAAAGTGATTGTCGGTGATTTGATTGCCACCCTTATTACAATCACTAGCTAATAGCATCGGAGATTGAGGTTTGAAAACTCCCTAATTTCATTGGGTGTGCGGTAAACTATGTAAATTAAACTATGTGTGGTCACTTATATATTTTAATTAGTCTAGATTTTTTAGTGGGTGCTGTCAGTCAAAACGTCCCATAGTGAGATTATTAATACTGTTACACAAAATGATAAAAATCAGTGCATGTCTAATTGACGTCAATCAAAGATGTTATTATTAATAAACTTAATACTGATATTGCAAAGTATATTATACGTATTATAATATACTTCGCAATATCAGTATTAAGTTTATTTATAATAACATCTTTGATTGACGTCACCCTGGGGTGTCCAATGTACTATGTAGATCAAATATATTTATAGTCTCATATAATTAGCGCAAATTTTGTGTAACATTTATAACGATCAATATTAAAATATTGAAATTTCGACAAATGTCATTAATTTTATTAATAAATTTTTTTAACTTTCGAAAAAAACGCTCCATTTTCTTTAAATTAGAAGTCTAATAAGTATTTAGGTGAAATTTCTAATCGAGTTCATATGTAAGATTTTGAGGAGATACGATTTGAAATTTAATATTTTCATATAATCTTTTCATAAAGAAATATTAAAATTTCAAATCGTATCTCCTCAAAATGGTACATATGAACTTGACTAGAAATTTCACCTAAATACTTATTAGACTTCTAATTTAAGGAAAATGGAGCAGTTTTTTTTAAAAAAAAATTTTTATTAAAAATTATTTGACCCACAAAAATTGTTCCCTCCCGTGATTTTTGACCAATCAAATTTCAAGATCAGGTGTAACGAAGCGAACCCATTTTTTTACAAGAAAACAGAAATAACTCAAAATTTTAATCAAGAAACCACCTTCTGCGGCCTACTTAAAATGTTCCTCGTGAAATTTTACTAATAAAAATTCTATCGTTCTATCCCTACCCTAACCCTAGTTCTAAACGCTGCTTTATTCTCAGTAAAAATTACAAGGGGACAATTTCTGTGGGTGCGCTACCTAAAATATTAAAAGTCAAGTCGATATTCACATGTTTAATGATATATTTTCTGAATAACTGTAACTTTATTATCTCATTTTTACTTTCGATAAAATTTATTACATCATTATTAAATAATTATCCCTCCTGAATGATCACGATGCGAATGATGCTGATAATAGACCGATAGATTTTAATAAACCTTTTAAAATTAATAGCGTCGCTTGTTATAATTTGCTCTTCCAACGCTACAATAATAATTGTTCTTAAATAAAATCAATCCTTAATTATCGTTTTAAATAAAATCATCATATCTTAATTCTTATGATACTGGTTAAAACTAGTATTTATTAATACTCTCCCATATTGTAGCAACAAACTGGTTGATAATAAAACAAAGCCAATCAATGCTCAATTAAGGGAGAGATAAATCTCGTATTTGTTTTCATCAGAATGATTCTTAGAGAAAAAAAATATTCGCCACGCCAAAAATGGTAAGGTACTTTGATTGGCGTGGACTTTAATTGCTATATTCAAAGAGTTAAGAAACTAATTTGATGAAGCTAGTGCTTCAAATAATGGAAGTCACTATTGAAAGCTAGCGCAGACTTACACGTTTTCGGAAATTTATTATTGTTCAAGCAACGAAAATCAGCAAAACTAATTTGATGGAACCATTAAAAGCTAGCGCTAGTGTCCGGGCTTATGTATTTTCGGGAATTTTTTTATTGTTCAAGCAATAAAAATTATAGAATGGATTAAACTTTAGAAAGATGGCAGTTTTTGGATAATCTCATTGTCCAAGCGATAAAAATATACAAGTCTGATCGCGTATCTTTTGTTATATTTATTAAGATAAAAAAAATATTTTATTGAATCGTATTTGAGAACAGGTTTTCGGTTTTTGTTTAGCTTTAGTTACTATTGTTTAGGAGTACTTTTATGATCATCAATATTAAATTTTAAATTGTAAATAGCGAAACATTGATTTGATTAAATAAAGATTATGCGTGCTTAAAACAATTAAAAATCTGCCATGCAAAGTTTTTTTGTTTAAAAAAAATAATAAATAGCGAATGCTTTTTAATTGTTATAGTAAAATTAATCAACCTATCGTTCTGATAATAGTAAAATTAAATCAACCTATAGTTCTGACCTCTTATACCTAAAGTTTCATAAAATTCACAATGCCAAAACTCTCAAAGCAAAAGCGTCATTTATACTCACAATTTCAACGAATTGGGATTCAAAAAATTCTTGAAAAAATTGATAATGACTCTCTTCCAATAGTTCATAACACTCTTACCAATATTGCGATAGGCGCCCCAGAAGAAGGGATGTTTCAATCAATCCGTGAAATGTCCAAACCACAAAAGCAAATGCATTAAAGCTTTTTACTTCAATGCGAAATCCAAAAGGAAAGCATGCTAATGAAATTATCTCACCTTATATGCAAAAAAAAGCACTCGACTTTATTATGGATCCTCCAAAAAATCAAGTTAAAAACTTAGTCGAGAATGCTGAATTAAAGCTATCAAACAGAAAGCTAATACGAAGTAACCAAAAACTAATAAGCAAAATCCAGTCTTTAGGTAAGGTTGGGATCTTCTATAGTATAGGTGGGCATTCAAACTCCACGAGGTCGCCCTGAAATATAGTATAGGTGGGCAACTCTGACAATACAGCAATAATCACATTAAAACAAATAATCACAAAACGTGATTAACATGTACGATGTACATCGTACAACATATCTGATAGGAAAAATTGATCGGCGTGACAAATCGGGCACTTGATACGTTATACCGATACGTTACGTACGTACGTACGTACAGTACATCCAATACAAGTTATAGAAATTCACATCTTTTATATTGTGTTGGTGATTCTGTTAGATTAGGCTGTAACAATGTTTGGGTAAACCATTTCTCATTAGTACCTTCAAATGATTTAAAGAACCCGTTATATATTGCTTTTTATATAAAATACGAGTACAAAATCCCGAATTTCATTAATTATAAGCTATTCAAAAACCCCAACTTCTTAACATAAATAGTGTCAAATCAGCAGCTAAAAGAGAGAAAACTCTACCTCAACCGATTCATCTCTTGAATCATTAACAATCTATGGCGAGAGGCCTAAAAATGCCGTTTTACTAGCACAGTGCGTATATACTTAAATTTTTCTTGAGCGCAATGTAAATCTTCACCTGTATAATTTACTAGTCATTTTATAAATAGCATAGATACTGCTGAGGATGAAACGAAAGCACTTGAATGATGTTTATCTGCTTGAGGTGGTAATTCTAGAGTTTTGGATTACTTTACGCTGATAAAAACGATGAAAAGATGGAGTCGAATGGTTTTAAAATTTGCAATCCTGATGGCCAATTTAGAACTGGTCTGTCTATCAGAATAGTATTGATGTATCAGCTAATCAGAAATATGTAAGCTTGGTTATTTCTATGACAATCGAATTGGAGTTGAAAAGGACGAACATAAGGCATTTATTTATTATTAAAAAACTAATTAGGGCGATGTTAGTTATTTCTTGTTAATATAAGTAGTTTTTCCTTGAAGCTTACTTGTTCTATTTGTTGAATTAAAGCACTGTTGGCTTCAGGTATTAAGCTGTGTATTTTTTTTTTTTGTGAATCAAAAGTTAATACTTAATATTCCGTCTATTCCATTAGATTAATCTTCGAATATTATCAAAAATCAGTAGAGATAGAATACGCTGATGGAATTTGAGTTGAAAAGGATGAAAACAAGGATTCAATGCTAATATGTGTTATGTTAAAGGAATATATGAGCTTGGTTAGTTCTATAACAATGGAATTGGAGTTGCAAAGAACGAACATAGGGTGATGTGAACTTCGGTAAGTTATTTTCTTGTTAATTATGTGGTTTTCTTGAAACTTACTCATACTATTTGTTGAATTAGTGAATGTGAATTAAAAGTTAACGCTTACTATTTCATCTATTTCATTAGATTCGCCTTCGAATATTATCAAAAATCAACAAAGATGGGACATGCTGATGGAATTGGAGTTGAAAAGAATGAAAACAAAGCATTCAATTCACTGATGTTTTATGTTAAAGAAATATGCGAACTTTGTTATTTTAATAATAGAATTGGAGTTGAAAAGGACTAACATAAGGCATTTATTTATTGATTAGGATGATGTTAAGTTATTTTTTGTTAATATAGGTGTGTTCACTTGTGCTATTTGTTGAATTAGAGCACTGTTGGCTTCGGGAGGTATGAAGTTATACTTACTTTTACTAGTTTTTTTTTTAGCTTTATATTTTTAAAAAAATTTGTTTTAATATAATCATCTATAGTACTATATACAGTATTTGCTATACTCTTTTGTTATTATTTTTATATTCATTATTTAAGTTTTTTTTTCTTTTTTGAGAATCAAAGTTAATACTTGCTATTTCATCTATTTCGTTAGATTAGCCTTCGAATGCTATCAAAAATCAGTAGAGATGGATACGCTGCTGGAGTTGGAGTTGAAAAGAATGAAATCAAAGCATTCAATTCAAAAATCTACTGATGTATCTCTGTAAAAATTTTATCGAATATTTCTGTTACTTTTCCATACTTTGTGAAAACTTTGTGAATCTGCAATATGATCGACAAAATTTAAACAAGCCAAATAATCTCCATGATTTAAGATTGTAAATTCCGTGAATATGCAATATTTACGGAAAAAACATAAAATATAAAACGCAGATCAACTTTTTTATAGAGTGTGTTATATTAAAGGAATATGTAGCAATGGAATTGGAGTTGAAAAGGATGAACATAAGGTGATGTTATCTCCGAACAATTTATTTTCTTATAGTTTTTTTTTGAAGCTTACTTATACTATTTGTTGAATTAGAGCATTATAAATTAAAACACTTATCATTTCATTCATTTCGTTAAATTAGCCTTTAAAAAATAGCAGAGATTGGGGCACGCTAGTAGAATATATGATGTTGGATATAGTTATCAAGCTGGAATTGGAGTTGAAAAGGATGAAAACAAAGCATTTAATTCAAAAATTTGCCGATGTGTTACATTATTAAATGCTATTTTTGTTTTCTTATTTTTTGAATTTTAAATGTTAATAGATCGATCTTCTAGTCAAAGTAAGAATACGATTATGAGTGTATAGTGTACTAAATATGGGAAATGCATGCTAGTTATTTGTAGCGATCAAGTTTCAATTAAATGTTTAATAAAATAATAGCACTTGGTAATTATAATACCTCAATTAGGTAATAAATTGCATATTTAATATGCATTATTAAATTTAAATTCACAATTGTTATATATTTAGATGTTGATGAGCTAACTGCTGAGAATTTTATGAATACAGCTTGCTTAAAAAAAAGCTTTCACTTGACATTATTTAGCTTAGAGAGCTAACATTTAAGAGCTTAATATAGCCCCCCTGGAGATTGTCAATTGACTATTTCCCAGGGTATTAGAGTTAGTCATTTGACAATTTAAAAATTAAAAAAAATTATATAAATTTTGTATATTTTATGTGCTTTTTGCATATTTTATGTACTCCTTGCATATTTTATGCACCTCTTGCATATTTTATGCAAGATTATGCAAGATTATGCGCCCCTTGCATAATCTTGCATAAAATATGCAAGAGGTGCATAAAATATGCAAGGAGTACATAAAATATGCAAAAAGCACATAAAATATACAAAATTTATATAATTTTTTTTAATTTTTGAAATTGTCAAATGACTAACTCTAATACCCTGGGAAATAGTCAATTGACAATCTCCAGGGGGGCTATATTGAGCTCTTAAATGTTAGCTCCCTTAGGGCATAGTTAATTTTAAAAAAGCTACTTCCTATTTTGATAAGTGATTCTTAATATAATTATTTAAAAGGATAAAAGAATCTTCGTATAGTTTGCTAGTGCCAATCAATTTCTCAGGTAACTTATTTATACTGTTTAAGTATATTTTGAGAATGTAACTATTTACTTATAAAAAATCATAAATGCTATTTGCAGATTCACTGAAGTGCCAACCTTCACTGGTATTATTGCTTAATACTTGATCTGCTGAATTTGGTTACTAGGTTGATATGTAGTTAAAAATTGTATCTAAAGTTGTGGGTTAGGGTCACTTTTTTGATACATTTAGAATTAGTGATTTATAAAAATATCAAGAATATGATTTATGCATTATGTAGATTAATATATAATTGATATTATTATATCAGGTACTATTGCATACAATATTTATTATACATATTTTATATATATTATATATGCATATGCATATAGTATATATCAATATTATTGTTACTATGTATTATTATTATCATTGTCATTGTTATCATCGAAGTATCCAGTAGTTTTAAATGCATAAAGAAAGGCACCCCACAAATCATTGACATTCTGTTTTCACCAAATAAACTCCAATAAGTATTTATCAATAGAATTTTTATTTCTGTTGCGAGGAGCAATTCATAATTTTATCTCATTCCATAGTCTTTCGATCGTATTTGTATGGACACCAGTATCAGGATCTACAAAATTTTTGAAGTGATTTACAGTAAAATGTGATACATTCAACAACTCCTCAATTTCCTCATAACCTTTTTATAAATCAGTGTACAAAATAGAATTGGGTAATACATGTTTTGATAATAAATTAAGTAATGTTGCTGCAGTTCTATTGGGTACTGTCTCAACAAAACATCTTTTTTCAGTTGTCCTTTCAATTCCGCCAACTACCCACACCTATCAACTCTATGCCCCTAGTAACATTTTCTCTTACCAAATTTGGATTCGTCAACTTCAACAATCACACCTTCACTACCAATCATGTTCTTATCATTCTCTAATACACTAATTAGTAATTGCCTAAAATTGCTCATATAATTTGATACTGTATTAGACGAATGGCCTATTATGTAGATTTAGTAATTTTATCAGATAAACTTATAATTTAATTTATATATGTATAATTAATTTACCTGTTATGCCACGAATAGAAGTATAAATAGATTTACAAAGCCAAAGATAACCCATCAATAACGCGTCAGAACATTTGAAATGATTATAAGCAAAAAAGAAATCCTTCAGAATTGACAACGATTTACAACAAGATCAGCTAATACACCTGTAAAGCTGTTTTTCACAGTATAGGTCAGAGTTATACTCTTTGCATTTTTTGGGTTTGTATAAAATATCTTTGTTGAATAAAAAATCAATACATTGTTGTTCATTGAAAAAGAAGGTTTGAAGAGATTTTAATGTAGATATTAAGAGTGTCAAGGATGAAGACATCTTTGAATCTTTAAATAAACAAAATTTTACCAAATATATAAGAATATAATTTTAATGCACATATTACTTGAATATAAAAATTATTATAATGTGCATATACTATACAAGCATCACCACAACAATCCAAGAATCAATGTATGATAAATTTAATGCAATGGATCAAAGATTAATCAATGCATAAATTTAATATAATGGGTCAAAAATTAATCAATATATAAATTTAATGCAACGGGTCAAAGATTAATCAATGCATAAATTCAATGCAATGGGTCAAAAGATTAATATATAGATTTTTATTTTAGATTAGAGAATTGAGATTTCTGCTTACTATAAAACACTAACTAAAAAACCTGAGGTTTAA